AACTGAAAACACCGTCTGGCAAGAGCCCCCTTTCCACACAGGACTTCACACTGAGAAGGATTACTGAGAGTGAACTTAAAATTGGTTGGAATCAAGGTAAGAGAAATAAATAATATATGCAGATCAAAGTTAGAAAAATAAAGGAGAAAACATGAGACACATGGCAATGATTTTAAAACTCCACAAAAATGACAGAGGAAGAGTTAGTTGAAGTTAGAAAAGCATCTAAACAGCATATTTCTACAAGTTAAGTGAGGTAAAATTTCATTAAAATGAGCAATAAACTATCTAAAGGTAAGATTTCACAAGCAGTAATTTTAACAAAAAATTATTTAGGAGACAAATGATTCCCCCTAAAGAATAAAAGAAATAAATGCATAATAACTCTAATATGCGATTTCAGAATAATCCAAAAGACATAAATATGTGACATGAAATAAGATCATAATTTAGAATAATAAATTAGATGTGAGAACTCAAGAAAGGTAGGCATATAAGGCAAATATAATCTTAATAGTGAAGAAAAAAATTCTAAGGAACACAAGAGCAAACATACAAAAATTACCAATACTAATAGAAGGTAAAAAGAAAAAAATTTTAAAGATGAAAATGCAATCAAACGATTCAAATAACATTCAGGGGAAAGGGACACAAATGAAAGACAGGCTAAGATGATTCAACATGGAGAGAATAAGGAGCCCTGAAGATGAAAACTAAGCAAAGGGGAAAAAAAGTTCTTCAGTTATAATTTAAGTAAATTTTTAGATACATATTTTAAATAACTGAAACAAAAGTTGAAAAAAAAATACTGGCAGCCTGGCGTGGTGGCTCATGCCTATAATCCAAGCACTTTGGAGGCCAAGGTGGGTGGATCACCTGAGGTCGGGAATTCAAGACCAGCCTGACCAACATGGTGAAACCCCGTCTTTAAAAAAAAAAAAAAAGAATATAGAACATGATAATTCTGCTCCAGAATAACCAACAATAAAGTATATTCTGAAAAAATTACTAGATTAAAAAAATTAAGATCTTTCATGTTTCTAGGCAAAAAAGACTATGTGACATGAAGAGAAATAAAATTAGAATATCATCCAAATTCAACAGCAATACTTTATCCAAAATAGAATGGAGCATCATATTTAAGACTCCCAAATAACTACCTAAACCTTGAAAGTGGACCTTGAATACAAAGGGCAAGGACAAGATGTCACATCCAATAACTCTCAAGGGAATATTACTCCCATGAATGCTTTGCAAGGAATCTACTGAAGATTTCACATCAGAAATCCAAAATAGCTAGAGTTGTCTGCATGAGGACTAGTAGTTAACATTAAATATACTGCATAATTATTAGTAGAACTAAGATTAAATGGAGGCAAACAAATGGGAGGTAAGAGTGTTTAGTAGCTATACCTCTGAAAATGTGGATAGAGCACAAATATAAAAATGGAGAGATCATGAGGATAGAATATAAAAAGTTAATTGTTTCAGTAATCATAATTAGTGATGTAGTACTGGTATTGTTACTCTGAAACACATGAATGGGAAATTATCTAGTACGATCATTTCCTATGACCTGGACAACTAGAATTCTTCGTATGAAAAAAGAAGACACACATACAATACAGAAGATAAGAGGCTTGATGCTGTGGTTTATACCTGTAATCCCAGTATTTTGGGAGGCAGAGATGGACAGATCACTTGAGGCCAGGAGTTCGAGATCAGCCTGGCCAACATAGCAAAAACCCATCTCTACTAAAAATACAGAAATTAGTAGGATATGGTGTTGCATGTCTGTAATCCCAACTACTCAGGAGGCACAGGAAATCCTTGAGCCCAGCAGGCAGAGACGGGTCACTGCACTCCAGCCTGAGAGACAGAGCAAGACTCTCTCAAAAAAAAAAAAAAAAGATATGAAATATGTAAGTGTGTGAATATATTTGTGTGTGTGTGTGTATACATATAGATGTATATATACAGTGGACAGATCCTGGAATGCTCCCACTGATCCTTGACTTGTAAGGTTCATATTCTTTTTTTAAAAAAATATATATTTTATTGTGTTTTAGGTTTTGAGGGTGAGGTTCATATTCTTTTGCAATCTTTATTCCTTGACTGTGGGTTATGGGTTATGCTTTTAATCAATAGACTATAGCAGAGATTGGATGTCACATACGGGATTAAAATAATATATAAGATTCCAACTTGCTAGTGGATTAACTCTCAGAACTCTCCTTTCATTCTTGATATAAGCAGCCAAATTAGGGACCCTCACATGGCAAAGCAGTTTTACATACCAGCAGCTGAAAACAGCCTTCTGCCAACAGCCAGCAAGAAATCAGGGCTCTTGGTCCTACAATTGCAAGGATCTGAATTCTGCCAACAACCTGAGTGATTTGGGAAGCGGGAGCTTCTCTGATTGAGTTTCTACATGAGAATGCAGCCCATGTCAGTTTCAGCCTTGTAGTACCCTAAATGGAAGACCCAGCTAAGCTTTCTCTGACATATGTGTATGCCGTTTTAATTTTGTAGTTTATTTGCTATGGAACAATAGAATATATGTGGGTGTGAGTATTTATATTTACAGTAAAATTCCAGGTGCACGCCAGTAAAAAGACCTAGAATTAAAAGCCAAGAAGCAATGGTCAACATTTATTCCCATAGAGTTTTGATTTTGGTCTTCAAATACCATTTTTTAAATCTAAAGCAATCAGAGCTTCTTGATGAAACAGATTAATCTAGATTTTGAGAAAAAATGTGCAAAGAGAACATGTAAATAAAAATATTGTTAGGTTCATATTGATGTCAGGTTCATATCCAAAGAACAAAGGACTAATTTGGAAATGCACTCACTACCCAAAATGGGGCAATTAGAAATATGATAACAATAATTTATGCAGTGGATTGTGGCCCACCGAATACACTCAAATGATGAATGGTATTAAATAAAATGATTTAGTCACCTTCTGAAAATGTTAGGAAAGCATTCATTTTTTATTAAAATTGGGCATTTATGTTTTTTTCTCTTTATGAATTTACCAATGGACAACTAAATAGATTAAAAAGGAATCCCATTAGAAAATTATTTTACCAAACAAGTGAAAAGACAGTAATAAATTTATAAAAATCCTATGTTTCCAAGTATTTGCAGTACTTAATATATTGAGATATAGAAATTAAGCTGCAACAATTAATATCAGCAAAGCGTGAAAACCATTCTGAGTCTATAAAACAGAAATCATAATAGTATTCACGATGTAAGCCCATGGCAACTTGTATTTAGTGTGTAAGAGTTTCTCACACAAAGAAAGCACCATGTAAAATTTAATTATTATTATTAGATGGACACAGACATGAACAGAGATACAATTGCCTCTTTATCAATGTAAAAATGACTATTAAAATACACATAGAATCTCCTTAATTTTTTTACCGCACCCTCTATTCTCTAAAACAGTTGAAATCCATATTTCATTAGAATTGCTTTGATGTCTACCAAAAATTCAGTGTGCTATGCAAGTTTAAATGTGCTTGTTCATTCGCTGTGTGTATTCACACACACTCTTTTGGAAAAGGACAGTCTTTGTTTGACCTTCAGGAAACGCTGCTAAAATCAAACTTCTCTATACCATACGAAATCCCTTGAATAACTTCCCCCTAATTTGGCACAGTGTTTTGAAGACAAGGTAATGCAGTATCAACATTGGCTTATTCCCCAAAGTCTCAGAAGCAAGTCTTCCCTTTCAATAGTTCTCTTTCCAACTGTGTCAGAATGGTGATTATAATTTGCAAGATAATGCAGGCAGGCAGACTTTTGTTTAAGGTTAAGATAAAAGAAAGAATTGTAAATATGATAAGGACATTTTGTAATGTGCTGCTAAACCCGCAAGCCCTTGCAAGTCCGGCTCCGGCTGACCTTACCTGCCCTGAGCCCCGTCCTCTCTTCACTCCTGTGATCTACTCCTTAGGGCCTCCTCTGCTGCTTTGAATATAACCTTATAACCCTTGACTGCCTCCTTACTTTTATACTTGCTGTTTCTGATCCCTGCAATGCTCTTGCCTCAGCATTTATTTTTCATCCCTGGAGTGCAAAAGTTCAGAAAATGAGAACATGTTGGGTCTATTCAGTTCATTGAAAATAACATGTCAATTAATTCAAACTATCATTGCATTAAAATACATTCTATAATTCTGGGAAATTTTATCTTAAATGAAAGATTCCCCAAATTTTAATTTATCTGTTTAGTGTATGATTCCAAACGGTATTTTAAAGCTTATTACTTAGTTTAGTAAAGTTAAAAGTTAGAACGGTGAATTATTACTCAAAATGGTGCAATACTTGCCACTTACATTATTTTTATTATGTCTTTAAATAACTGGAGCAATATTTCTCAATATTGCATGCATGTAAAATTGGGAGTGAGTTGTTTTGCCAAACTATAAATACTTCTTCTCATCATGTTAGTAACTGTAGACATTTGCTATATTTTTAAGATCCTCAAATAATCAAGTTAAGCATTTTCTAGTCCACTGAATATTATATAATATTTATATGAAAGGAAATTTCTATTTATTATAATATGGTTTATAATAGCCATATACATTTTACTCTATAAAGAATCGAATCAGTTATTATTTTAGTTTTAGTTATTAACTAACATATTATCATGTAAATTAAGTCAATAATTGCATATGATACATCAATGTAATCAATGAATGTTTTAAATAATCAGTACTTGATTTTTATACCAGTAGCCCTAGAATGAAGTTCTCAGTGTTTTTGTGAAATCTACTTTCTGGGGAAATGAGCTATTCCTGGCCCAGCATAGTTCATTTTGACAGGTTAAAATAATCACTAATCATTTTACTTGTAAGTAAAAGTTTTAACTTTACTTGTAAGGAAAAAGTAAAACATTTTACTTACTTTTTCAAATATATATTGGTAGTAGATTTTAATATTACTCACCAATATTTTCTGTTCAACTCTTTCCACCCATAAGGTTGTGGCAGTTCTCCACCATCCCAAGATAAAGCACATCCCAGTGACTTGCGCTGACCTAGGAAAAGTGGGCATCATTGGTGAGTGCCCCTGACCTCCAGGGCTGGACTCCCCAGCGTGCTCTTACCTGTGCTGTGTGGAGCAGGGTTGGGCGTGAAGTACCATAAGATCAATCAAGGCAATCTATAATGCTGAGACCACAGGTACTGAGAACCCAATCGGCACAGATTCTTATGAGTAAGAAGTACATTTGACATTAAGTCACTGAGATTTTGTGGACTTGGTGGTTGCTGCCACTTCACCCAGTCTGTCATGAAAAATTCTGTAAAACAAAATTAAAAGTCTTATTAATTTTATTTATAAACTGTAATGATCAATAATGATTGAGTTATTGAAAAGTCATACCACAATTATCTGGACAAAATATCTGTTTTAAAAAGCACAAGGGTCTTACCAGTAGATGTCAAATGATAAACTGAGATATTTATAAGTGCACTTTACTTTTTCTAACTCAAAGAAAATTTATTTTTCTTAATTTTCTTCTAATTTTCAAATAGAAAGTTTGCAGAAATACACAAAAAGTAATACTGGTCTTATTAATGTCTGCAAAGTTGGATATATTTTCATGTTGACTTTGCTTTTACTTTATATTTTTATTTTTCACATATGAGATTGATTTTTAAAATTAACTGCTACATAATACAAGCAAAGCACTCTGAAAATAACTACATATTTCCAAAATGCATTTCATAGTTTTCTGACTTATTAGATACAATTTTACCTTTTAATTTAGTATTTTAAGGCACATTAGTATGAACAAAAATTACTGAACTGAGGCATCTAGGAGTTCAACAGAAAAGCAGGGAGCTGCTACCCCACAGCAAATGACCCTAGATTCCTGCACTACAAGAATCAAGGCAGTGTGCTCTGTGGTCAGGGTTATAACTCTCCTTTATTGTCAGCCTAGTATGCCTATTATTTTGTGTTCTTGGTTATTTCTTATCTATCAGCCTCAGTTTTTGCATTTTCAAGAACTCCTACCTCAGAATCCTTAGGGGAGAATTAAATGAGAATAATATAAGCAATGAGCCTAGTATGCAGTAGATGTACAATAAATAAAAGCTCTTAATTATTATTATGATTATTAACATTATTTTTAAGATGGAGTTTTGCTCTGTCTCCCAGGCTGGAGAGCAGTGGCATGATCTTGGCTCACTACAACCTCCATTACCTGGGTTCGAGCAATTCTCCTGCCTCAGTCTCCTGAGTAGCTGGGATTATAGGCAAGTGCCATCACGCCCAACTAACTTTTTTATTTTTAGTAGACACAAGGTTTCTCCATGTTAGGAAGGCTGATCTCAAACTCCCAGCCTCGGGTGATATACCTGCCTCGGCCTCCGAAGCGCTAGGATTACAGGTATGGTCCACCGTGCCCAGCCAGCTTTTATTTTTTCCCAGTAGTATTCAGGTATGTTTAACCAATAAAAGGTGTCAAACTTAATATTTTTAAATACATATGCATTGTGAAATAATCACCACTCCATACTTTGATTTATCCATCAGCTCACAATTATCATTTTATTTCATTTGTTTTAAAATTATTATTATACTTTAAGTTCTGGGGTACATGTCCAGATTGTGCAGGATTATTACATAGGTATACATATGCCATGGTCGTCTGCTGCATCCATCCCCCGTCACCTACATTAGATATTTCTCTTAAAGTTATCCCTCCCTAATTCCCCCACCCCTTGCTATTCCTCCCCTAGTACCCCCTACCCCCCAACAGGCCCCTGTGTGTGATGTTCCCCTGCCTGTGTCCATGTGTTCTCATTGTTCAGCACCCACTTATGGGTGAGAACATGTGGTGTTTGGTTTTCTGTTGTGTCAGTTTGCTGAGAATGATGGTTTCCAGCTTCAACCATGTCCCTACAAAGGACATGAACTCATCCTTTTTTATGGCTGCATAGTATCCCATAGTGTATATGTGTCACATTTTTTTTATCCAATCTATCATGGATGGGCATTTAGGTTAGTTCCAAGTCTTTGCTATTGTAAACAGTGTTGCAATGAACATACGTGTGCATGTGTCTTTATAATAGAATAATTTATGATCTTTTGGGTATATACCCAGTAATAGGATTGCTGGGTCAAATGATATTTCTATTTCTAGATCCTTGAGGAATTGCCACACTGTCTTACACAATGGTTGAAAAAAAACTTAGGATTGACCCTCTTAACAATTTGCAAGAATATAAAACAGTACCTATAACTGTAGTCACAATCCTGTGCAATAGATCTCTAGAAAGTATTTATCCTGCATAACTGAAATGCTGTGCCCTTAACCAGTATCCTCCCATTTGTCCCTGTCTCAAGCTCCTGGAAACCACCCGTCTACTCTCTGCTTTTGTGAATTTGACTACTTAATGTTCCACAAATAAGAGTTCACACAGTATTTGTCTTTTTATAACTGGATTTTTTCAAATATTATGTCGAGTAAATCACTCTGTACCTATTTTGTTCTACATACGTATTATGAACGAATATTGAGTTTTGGCAAGTGATTCTTCTGCAACTATTGAGATGATCATGTCTTTTTTATTTCTTCCATTTGGTTATTCTGGCATGTCACACTGATGGACTTTCATGTATTCAATCATCTTTGCATCCTTGGGACAAATCCTTTTTAGCAGTTGTATGATGCTTTTAATGTGCTATTGTTTGCTTTAGTTTGCTAATATTTTTTATTAAGGATTTTCACATGCATGTATTTAGTTTTCTGCATGTTTTCCAGTTGTTTTGCTTTTCTCTTCCTCTCTTGCTTTCTTCACTATTTGATGATTTTTTGTAGACTTACTTTGATTATTGTTTATCTATTTGGTATGTGTTATGGATTTTTTGAAGTTACCTCGAGGATTGTATAAAATATTATGTAGTTATATTCCATTATTTTAAGTTATCCACAACTTGTCTTCAGTCAAATACAAAGCTCTACACTTTTATGCCCTCCCTAGGTGATTAGTGTTCTTGCCATGAGAGTTGGCTTCTTTTTATGTTGGTTATCCATTAAAAATATTTATCTTTTAACATTCATATTAGAGTTAAAAGTAATTTATACACCACTATTAAATGATCACATTATTTTGTATTTCTCTATGCATTTATTTTACTAATGAGATTCATGATTTCACACGCTGTTATATTGCTGTCTAGTGCATTTTCATTTAATTTGAAGAACTCTCTTCAGCATTTCTTGTAAGACATGTTTAGTGGTGATGAATTGCATCAGTTTTGTTTCTGAAAAATACTTTATTGCTCCTTCATTTTTATTTATTTATTTTTTTTTAATTTTTTAATTTTTTATTTTTTTATTTTTTATTGCATTTTAGGTTTGGGGGTACATGTGTAGAACATGCAAGACAGTTGCATAGGTACACACATGGCAGTGTGTTTTGCTTCCTTTCTCCCCTTCACCCACATTTGGCATTTCTCCCCAGGCTATCCCTCCCCACCTCCCCCTCCCACTGGCCCTCCCCATTTACACCCAAGCTCCTTCATTTTTAAATAATAGTTTTTCCATGTATAGCAATCAGAGTAAGCAATTTTTCTAAATTGTTATCATTATTTTAGCAGAGGTTAAGCATCCCTAATTTGAAAATCCAAAATTTAAAATGTTCCAGAATCTGAAACATTGTGAATCCAGTACATTGGTTGACTTGATGGTATCCCATGAAGCTTGTATAGCCTTTCCTCTATTGTTTTATTATTTTTAAAATTTTCTCCTCTGACTAGATGATTTCTGATGTCCTGTATCCTAGTTCATTGATTCTTCCACTCAACTGAGTCTGCTGTTGAACCTCTCTATTGCATTTTTCATTTCATTTATTACATTTTTCAGCTCCAGAATTTGTTCAGTTCTTTTTAAATAATTCCTACCCTTTTGTTGAACTTTTCATTTTGTTTATGGATTTTTTCTCATCTTATTGAGTGTTATATCTGTTCTCTCTGATTGTTCACTGAGATTCTTTAAAACAATTGTTTTGAAATCATTGTTAGGCAATTTATAGATCTTCATTTCTTTGGAGCCAGTTTCCTGAAATTTGTGTTCCTTTGGTGGTGTCATGTTTCCTTGATTTTTTGTGTTTGCTGTTGCATTGTGTCAGTGTCTGCACGTTTAAAGGACTCATGACCTCTTACAGTGTTTACGTACTGACTTCAGTGGAAAAATACCTTCACTTAATAGTGGATAAAAGGTCTCCAGCTGAGTTGGGTTTGTGGTAGTGCCAGGTCTACAGTCAGATCCGGGGATGTACAGGGATGTTGGTTCCAGGGGCTTACAAGAATGCCAGTTTCAGGGACAAGAGGAACTGCAGGTTCCACAAGATGCACAGCAGCATCAATTCCAAGGTCAGATGGGCACTGCAGCATTTACAGCTTGAGGGGGCATGGCAGTGGGTTCTGGTGTATGTGGGCTACTGGTGTGGCTTTGTCTCTGAGGAGTGCAGTGGCAACTTCTGCACTGGGGAAGGGGAAATGTTCAATCATGTTTCTGGATCCAAGGAAGCACAGTGGTGTCTTTTTCTCTGTGTGGTACAGTTTCATGGACTCTGGAAATCTTCATGACCTGAAATCAGCATTAGCAAAAAATGTTGAGGACCTCAATGGCAAAGGCTGTGAATATCCCTGGGGGTGTCAGCTGCTTCTGGGATACTCAGTTGCAGAGGGTGCCAGGGTCTTCCTGATCTTCCTTTTTCCCATAAAGGTGAGTCATAATTGAGGGGATCCTTCTTGGCACTGAGCTCTCCAGCTTTGGGGGATGGGTAACACAGATAATTTTTGTTTACATACTTTTCTATGTCACCATCTATGATTTTCATGCTTCACTGAATTGAAACATATTCTTGATTATATACTGGAGCTCTTTCAGAGCTATTTGTTTCCATGGACAGTTGTTAAACCATTGAATTTGTAAGGGAGTGAGGGCTGGGGCATTTTAGTCTTCAGTTTGCTAATATCAGATTCTGGTAGCTCTTATTTTTATAATTCTTGCTATAGGAATAATTACTTTTAAACTATAACT